AAGAGGTCTCACCAACTTTAGGTCATGCCATTGATTTATGGAGTACACACGTGAGCCCCGAGAGCTTTTCAATGTGGAATGCGATGGTGGAGCTAAACTCTATGTTTCTGAAAGGCGAAAAAAAATTCAAATTATTTTTTGCCTGAGGTAAATTTTTCGCGGTGTGCTAAGCTGGAAAGCCGCAGCAAAGTAAGCAGTGTTTTTGATCTCTCCCTTTTTTTTGAAATGTTCATTGAGCCAGTTCAGAGGTAGATGCTTTGCTCTCAGTTGAGATATCTGGACCAGTTGTGACTCACAGTTTGGTCCTTCATCTGTGTAGCTGGCATTCCAGTTGTTTTGACCGATGCTGCATCGACTGATGGTTAACATGCTGGCGAGACACACGTTTCATTCCCTCGGGGTTAGGTCTTTTTGGATTTTTTTTCAGGATGAAATGCTTTGCTTAATGTTATCTAATGTTACACAGTTTTGGAAAAAGAATGAAACGCATTTGGAGTTTCTGTCCTGCGGGTTCGAGCCACAGTATTACATAACCTTCGTCATTTAACAGCGGCTGACTTTTGAAAAAACCTGGAGCTTGAATTAATGCGGAATAAAGTGATTAACGGTGCTTTTCTGGATAACTTTTTGTTTTCACTTAATGAAAAACCGTACTTCTTTCTGCATTGGGCTGGTTTTCCCTTGTTTTTCTCTTGTTGAAAAAAGTGATGAAACGGTACTGATGATTACTGAATTTGCAAATATGACAGTGTTTTATTCTCACCGCGGTAGTGTGTCTTGTTCTTAATTAACTTATTACTAACACAGGTACGAATTGTAAGTAGCAGAGGCATATTACGCGTTGAATATGTACTAACATTAACTAAGTTCATTCAAGTTCATTGTATAAGTAATAATCGCAATTTATATCGACTGGAGGGAGCACACAAATAAAACTTCTCTTCCTTCTCGTAAAATACCATGCTTGGGAATCAATGCCTCTTGTGCCTGGAAAATCCTGTCATCGTATTTATATATGCTGGCAGCTGTTGCTGGTTTGAAGGAATAAAAGAGGAGCAGGTACATTTGATAAATAAACAGAAAAACACAAAAACAATGATTATTTAATCTTTTACAGCGCCAAATCCGCGAACTCCCTACAGTGAACTCGATTACAGATTTACTCAGAAATGTTTCTTGGAATTGTTGCACTTTTGTGGTTTCTAGGTAAAACAGTTTTAACAAGATGAGACCAATGAAAATGGTAGAACAATTCAGATAGGCGTAGTAATTTTTGATACGTTGGGCTGTACACTTTTTATTTCATATGACTAGACTTTAGTTAAACTCTCACTTGACATTAAGCGCGGAAGCTTTTTTTCGCTCTTTTTCCAGTGTGAAGCAAAATTCTCCTTCATCCGAATGATCGCTGCAAAAACGAAAAAAAAAAAAGAATATTTAAATCAATATAATCTTGAACGCTGACTATGGTAACCGCAGCAGAAATTGAAGAGAGTTAACCTTTCGTGCTGAACGGCCAGAGACGTAGAGGACCTGAAAGCTTCTGAAGCCACTGGTTTAGTCCAGGTGCAACTAT